CAATAAAGATGTTTCCTGGAAACCGCCCATGTGTGTGTGCATTGAACCCCGTGGTAGCTCCGGGTACCTGTCACCGGTCCACCGCGAAGGGAGGCAGCGGTCCCCACCTTTGCCTTTTATCAGCCAGTGTGTCTTCCGTCCAGTAACGCAGCCCAGCCAAGGGCGTGCGGGCCGGCGCTTCTCCGGGCCACCTGGGCAGATGCTGGTGACACCACATGCCGGGCCCGTGGCTTTGTGCAGGTCACGTGGATTGAGATGGGAAAGTGGGAGAGGTGTGCTTGTGCGCGTGTGTGTGCGCGTGTGTGGAGAGCTGGGCGAGGTTCACTACTGCCCCACGTCTGCAAGGCCTGCTCTGCCCATGCGAGTCTAAGGTCTGTCACGAGGTGACTCAGCCACCTGTTCTCTTACAGCACACGAGGAGACTCAGTAACGGACAGTGGGGAGTGCGGGGTGGACTCAGAGGTACAGGCCACGTTTTGGTGTCTGGGCTTGAGGGGTCGGCTTCTGGGGGCTCTTGGAAAGCCGCATCCCGTGGTGCATCAGGCACGAGGTGCAGGGGAGGCCCAGGGGCTCTCCCTTCCCCAGCCACTTCCCTTCCCTCGCACCCCTGTGCCTGGCGCGGAGTCAGGTGACATGCCTCTTCATGTGTCCCTGGGCTTCCCCGTGTCCTCCGTGCCGGTGGTCCGGCAACCCTGGGCAGAGGCCATTTCCGTCCCCACAACACAGCAGGGCAGGCGGGGTGCCGGCCCCCGTCCCCAGTCTCCTCACATCTTGTCTGGAAGTGGAGGAGGGCACAGCCACCGCAGATAAGTCAGTCCCACCCACCCACCTGCTGCCGTTTTTCGTCTGATTTATGATTGACAGGCCCCAGCAACCTGCATGGGAGGCGGGTGAGCGCATCCTGCTGCTCACAGTGGAAAAAGGGAGGAAATTTGCAAGCTGGCCACGGCCTCGTGCCTCCGCGGGGCAGCCAGCTGGTCCCTGCCACACGCCTCGGGCACCCTCTCCTCCCTCTGGAGGCCCAGACCAGGAGAGGGCGTTGGGGTGGGGGGAGCTGGCCCGCTGCCACCTCCCAGCAGTGAGCGACCTTACAGACACTTTGCTTGGCGTGGAGCGTGACTGAACTGGGGGCGTCCCCTCCTCTCAATTAAGATTGCGTCTAAGGCCCAGCAGAGATCAGTGAACGTGACTTCCATGAATGTAAGTTATACTTCAGACGTTCATGCAGCCGTAACACGAACATGTTTTGATAAGATCTGATAAGATCGCATGAACATGTGAGTCAGGTGACAAGATTTGACTGCTTCAAAATAGGGGTATCCATTTTGAGAGCCCAGTTTAAATTTCAAATCTTGGGGAAACTCGAAACTAACAGCTACGCAGCTGTGGAGCGTGCTCGGCTCACTGCGGATATGAGCTGTCGAGAGCTGTGAGCATGCAGGGCTGCCAGCTGTGGGCTTGGATGCCAATCTCCAGGTAGCTCACTGTCTTCAAAACAAATGTAAATGTTAAGTAATTTAACCAGAACCGTTCCTATGATGATGGACGGACGACAAAGGCAAGAGCCGGAAGGAGTGTGCCAAGGCCAGGATCTATTACTTGTTTTAGTAATGAGCACGTTTAGCCATTGAAAGTTTCCGTCGCTGTGATGGGCTGTGCACGTCACAAGGGCCTGGGTCTGGCACAGTGACTTATCACACGCAGCCTTGACCCGAAGCTCGATTCACGCCACAGCCTCGCACTTTGGAAGCTGAGCTGCCCCTTATGAGGGAGCACGGCCCCCCGCACTGGGGACAAGCTCGGGGGACGTCCCTGCTTCAGGGCTCCCCACCCTTGCGCACTCTTGGCTGCCCATGCTGCTGAGTGGGTCCCCCTCCTGCTGGTAGGGAGGAGACGGTCAACGAACTGTCCCCTACGGCTTCTGCTGGGCTGGCCGTGAGTGCTCAGCAGGGAGACCTCGGGGGCCATTGTCAACAGAGTCTGGTCCCCATGGGCCATCACAGCCACTTTACCAGTTGACCCTACACAAAAATGGTTCGAATAAGCTATGAAGTATCCCGTAAGTAGCCGTTAGAGACGTATCGTTTCAAGTTAACGTTCTCCACCCGTGTTAGGAAATGGACTGGATAGACCCGGCCCCCTCACACCTGCTGAGCGGAAACTGGACGTGCTGACTAGTCCCTCTGCCCTCCTCGCCCAGCTCGTCCTTTCCTGCTACGTGGCTGTCCTCAGAAGGGCAGGGAAGCCATTTCTCTAACAAAGGTGGTGGTGAGGTCCTGGGGTCTCAGGAGTGCAGATCTTCAAGGGGCCTTGACGCTGCCAAGAGGGAGGTGGCATGCACTGTCAGCCCGGGAAGGGACGTTCAGCACCCTCATGTGCTCAGCCTGTCACCCCACATCTATTGGGGTTTTAAAAGACTGACAGACTACTTACCGAAGTGGCTTTAAAATCACAGAACAGAAGAAGCTATGTTGATTTTTAGTAAGTAGAATGGAACGTGAACATACACACACCGTAGTAATGTTAAGTCGTGAATTGAATTTACACGATTTGATTATTTTAAGTATCTTCTGCAGTTGAAACAAACTTTCTGTTCTTTGTGTAGCGTTTCTCCCTCAGTTACTGTTCTGTGACTTGGGCTTGCTTGTTCCTCTTTTGCTTTTCCGGATTCTGGGAGTGCGGGGCTGGGGCACTCACCACTGAAACATGAGCGTTCCTGATAGAATGTACCACAGTTTGGGATGTTTGGGACAGTGTTTCCTTAAGAAGTAATAATTTTTAAGACCTGTGTCATTTCCTAAAACTCCCAGTGCATTTTCTTTGCCGCCAGCGTCCTGAGCCCTGGGCACTTCCCTTAAGCATCGTGTTACGTTTGCATAAAGGTTGAGCGTTTGGTGGCTCTTGACAGGTTAATGCTCACTGCATTTCTTTCTAAACCTAAAAGTCTTTATTTTAGCCATTTCAGTAAGCATTTTTCTCCTTATTTGGCATTTCGACACCAGCGACTATGGAGTTAACCTCATGGCACGTGCTGCTTTGATCATTATAATTTTATTGACCGTCGTAATTGAGCTGTAGAATTGGTTTCTAATCACACGTTTATTTAGCTTAATTCAGGTATTGCAACTGATAAGTTAAAGACCCACAGAGCTGCTGTTACCTTTGTGATGTGCGGCAAGAGGCAAATAAAAGGACGTGGCAGAGATTTCGTTTCAAAGCCACGCCGGCGCCGCGCTTCGTTCCCGCGGGTTAACGTGTCGTATGCTGGCGTTGCGGCCGGCCCCGCCGCCCCTCCACGCTGTTGCCGGGGGTTGTATCTCATTTTAAAAGCTGTCATGTAAACTCTGACGATTGGGGTGGATTTACTCATGAATTGGGCCCTGGGTTTTGTGGTCTGTGCCTGGTGCTTAACCGCGTCCCATCAGACAGCCCACGTTGGGCTGGGCGGGCACGTCGGTGGGTTCATGTCTGTTGCAATAAGCTCGTCAAACACTTGATTTTATTCTGCCATAGAATGTCTTCTATTATTAAAGCATTCCCCAGTACCGCCCCCTCCACTACTCCCTAATAAAGTTCACCTCTGAAGGACAGAAGTCTCATCTGGATTCTGAAATGTGCCCCAAAATTTTATTTTTCAGGTCTTGAGTCACCACGTCCAAACATAATCCTCGGATTAGTGATCTGTCAAAAAATGAAGCGGCCTTTGAATGCCGGAGAGTTGGACAAGGTGGAGGAGAAGCGGGCCCGGCTTCCTCTGCAGGAGGACGTGGACGTCCCCGTCTACCCCAGGACGCCTGCTGCCCCGCAGCCTGAGAAGAAGCCCCCCAAGTACCAGCCATGCTCCGGGGACTCGGCCGTCGGCACCACACCCCCCGGGGCTCCTCCCCCCCCCCCCCCCCCTCCCGCACCCCCACCAGCGGCGGCAGCTTCGTCGTCAGTGTTAAAAATACTGTCCACTCTCAAGCCTGGAGCCACGAATGACACCGCCGCGCCCCCCGCACCGGCCGTGGCTGCAGCGGCCGCCTCCCCTGCCACATGCTCAGCTTCGAAAACCGCGTCGCCCCTGGAGCACATCCTGCAGACTCTCTTCGGGAAGAAGAAGTCCTTCGACACCGCTGCCAAGGAGCCCGTGGAGCCGGCTCTGGCCTCCGCCCAGGATGCCAAGGCCAAGGCCGAGGGCGGGCTGCCCGCAGTGCCCTTACTGGACCCGATTGTCCAGCAGTTCGGCCAGCTGTCCAAGGAGAAGGCCGTGGAGGACGAGGAGGACGACCGGCCGTATGACCCCGAGGAAGAGTACGGCCCTGACAGAGCCTTCGACACGCAGCTCGGCGACCACGGTGGCCGGCCCGACGCCGACAGGGCCACTGAGTCTGCAGAGCGTGAGGAGGTGGCTTATGACCCGGAGGACGAGACGATTCTAGAAGAAGCCAAGGTGACGGTCCACGACCTGCCCAACAGGATGTGCTCAGACGTCAGGGGTGGGGCCGGGGAGAGGCCGGCAGGGGGCGCTGTGGACGGGGCCGCCCCGTCCCTGGCGGAGCAGCAGAAGATGCTCGAGGAGCTCAGCAGACAGATCGAGGAGCAGAAGAGGCAGGTGGAGGAGCAGGAGGCGGCGCTGCGGCAGCAGAGGGCCGCCGCGGGCGTCTGCACGGCCCGCTTCT